ATATAATCTCTGATCGAACATTTGTCAGATTTTCTGATAGGATGGATAACTTCTGAAGTGTTCTAAAAGTTATGGAAAGGGGATTTATAAGCGGGATACGCGAAGCTTGCCGAAGAACAAGAAATTTATCGACACCTCTTTTCATATTTCTGGGAATTATTACAACGCTAGTAAATACGGCGATAAGCTTTATCGAAGCTTTCTCGGTGCCGTGAGTAGTCCGTCGAATTTACGCTCGCCGGCCCGCGGATTGTTCGTTACGTATTTCACGATAAATATTTATTTATAGAACATATCAACGGGCGTTTCGGGCTCGATAACAAAAAGCCTCTCGGAGCGCGTTATTTAGAAAATAACGCGCGCGGATTTTCGCCGTGGATTTATCCCCTTGTCCCCTTCTCGTTCAACCCCTTTTTTATCGAGCATCATTCGTCGTCGATTTAAGCGTTAGTTTGGATAAAACCTAATTACAGGATGTCCAATTTTATAGTGACACGTGTTTTTCAGTGTCTGATTCCTTTTAAGCAGAGTGCATTGGCATTCCAAAAGTATGAAAAATCGTAAAGTTACACAAAGCGATTAATCGGTTAGTTCAGTGTACATTGCAAGGAAAGAATCGTTTTCGACAAGAAAAAAATGGGACGAAATTAATAACGTCGACGATCGATCAACGCGGAAGAAAACTCGGCTCGTTAGCCCTGACGATGATGAAAGCCTCGTGACAAAAACGCGGGAAACGCGACTGGATGAACAATCGAGTCGCGTTTCCTGTTTCTGTAACCTTTCTCGAGCCGCTCTTTACACGTTGTAATTTCCCGTTGTTGAAGCGGTGTAATTCGAAAGCCAAATGGGAGACAGAAATTGAATCCCCGTCCTATTGTTTTTTTACTCGAACGGAGTATATCTTTTAACTCCAGTTTATCACACTTTAAAATATTTTTTTAATACGTATGAAAATGATAATCATGATCAATTATGATAAGGAAAAAGAGAAAGATATTATCCTTGAGTATGTAAAATAAATAAGTATTGTTCTTAAAAATTCGTGTATTGCAATTTTTTAATAAACTGTTATATTTGCATATTGTAATCCAGAATTTTTAGATTAAAATATTGATGGTAATACAATTAAAAACGTTATGCATTTTTATCGCAAGTAATTAAAATGCTGATTATTTTTATAATTGGAATATGCGTATTCAAAATTAATTTGACGATTTTTCAGAATTTTCTACGCTTGGTTTATGATTAATTGATGGTCTTGATTTAGCTTTTGTGTCCAATTACTCGGGCGATTCGTTAGGTCGATATTGCGTCGAGTTAGATTGTCAGTAAGGGGTAACGATTGAGGGAACAAAATGAAACGAAACAGGTGGAAACGCGTGACAGAAATGGAGAAATCAGTGATCGAGTCAACCGTTGCGCCCGGCGACGCGCCAGTGATGTAGGTCAACAATAAGGCAGGCGGTTTCGAGTAGGCGAGATTGGGATGCGCGCATCTCGAGAACTGTTGAGTCCCCATATCTAATATCTCGTGTACACCGAAATAGATGTTTAAGTAACACGGTGCATAGATAATATTTATTTATTTATTCCTTTTTTCATTCAATAATGGAGAGGAACATTAGTGGATTTTATGCATTTGTAAGGAAACGTAGATACTGTACAGAGATATGCAAAATACCAAAAGTTAATTGCACGATGCAATGGTTAAATGGTAAGAGGAATTTTTATCTGAAGCCCATTCTTTTAATTGATACCATGAATATATTATTTTGCATAAAGTGTCCAGTCTACCCATTAAAATACAGAAGTATTAAATGAAAAAGTACTGCCACTGGCAAAAAGTTTTTAATCAAATGTAACATGCAATAAAATAGCAGTAAATGAAGACATAGGGTTTGGACGTTGTAAATTTAAAATGCTACCGCATATGCGATAAAACGCAATGAAGTTACTGCTCTCCTGTTTTCATCTTTTAAGCATTTTTATCCAATATCATTTTATTGCGGTGATGAAGAAAGTTTTGCCATTTAGTACGAGTGGAAGCAAGAAAAATAAAAAATAACATGGACTACAATAATGTACTTTGAATAAATATTTATTTCGTTGCGATACATAGTTATTACTCATGTTTTTCTAAGTTTACATTTTTCACAATAAATCTTTTTTATAAAATTCGCCTCTGTTCGCTGTATGTATTGTATGCATTATATAATTTGCAATCTTGGGGCGTTGAGGAGAATTGGTTTCAACCAGGCAACCCTATCCCGCGTTCGCACGGAAACGCATTGCACGGCACGTGCTCGAATTACTCCCTTTCTTCAAGTTTCTCCATCTTCCGGAGAAAAATTGTTCCCCGGCAATTCTTCCTAGCCTCCGTTGGAATACGACGGAGAAGGCGATGGTAGGTGTGAATGAAATCCGATCGCGACGATGAATCGACTCTGTCTCTCCCTTCCTCTGCTTCAGTATACTCTCGACATGCATTATGCATGTAGTTCCGACGGAGCGTATGCAGGGCGTGCACTCGCACGCGCGAGCGTGTTCCTCTTTTCTGTCTCCTCGGATTAACCAGATTAGGATAGAGTTTAGGTTCTCTGGGTTGTCAAACTTTTGCATTAACGAAAAATATATTTCCTCTCGTGCTTTTTCTGCCTCTTTCAAACTTTGTCCTCTATGTGAAATATTAGATGGATAAATAAATTCCTAATTAAATGAGAAATAAATTTAAAAGTGAATTAATTTTTACTTAATCACTTCTGTTCAGTATTAAAATTACAGTCATAAAATAAAGCTTGTATTGATCATATAGTTTGGAATATTTGTATTCAGTTGTTCAGGGTTTGTTTTATTATCGAGTTTCTCGATTTTTCATCGGGTCTGACCGACTTGTCTCGCTGAATAGAAACGTTGTTATCATTGGTACAAGTTTTATCTGGATATTTTCAGACGCGTGAGTGTGAAAGTAATTTATACGTGTTCCTAATTAGAATATTCTAATTATATTGTGTGAATAATCCGCGAAATTCAGGTTTCATTTGTGATAAGATAAAACCAGGGCAGAGAATGCGATATATTATCAATTAATATGAAGCTAATACATTTATTTATGAATAATAACAGATTGTTTAATCCTATCATATTTGAATCTGATCCATCGGTACGAGTTAAAAAGTTTTATAAGAGTAGAATATTTGCGAGCGCGTAGGTTCAGAGGAAACGAACCACACTACCGGTTCGTTTTCCGGGGAGAACGTACGTCCGTCGAAACGCGCATCCGGCCGAGTCGCTGGCGCGCAAAAATATTCGC